TTTTGGAACTAGAGCAGCAGACGAGTTTGCCCAGATGGTCAAGTGAGCTCAAGGGTGCTGGAAGTAAGAGCAAACAGTTGTTTTTAACGCTACTCTTCAAGACGGCTAACATCAAGAAACAATGGGTAACTCTGTAAACATGTAACAAGCCGACAGATTCGATCTCTGTAATACGTTTTACTCAACATACTGAAGAACAGACCTCCCAATTGAAAGACATCAACTTACAAACAACTGCATACTTTTAAAGCACAAAGCAACTCATATAAGCAAGATTTTTACTTCAGGATGCTCACTGCAATGGTCAACCATGATGAAAAGTGGTAGCATGGCTCGGAGGTTCTAATTCCAAGAATGAAAGGAGCACGTAGTAGGCATTGGTAAGAGACTCGTTCGTGTCCAGCAGGAGCAACTGCACATGTGCTATTTCACAGCCAATAAAATCGATTTCCATCCAGTAACACCTGGTGTCAATAAAGTCGACGACGTTGGTTGACTCATTGATCAACGACAATTAACGGCAACGTCGATCTCCATATGGCATTTATAATTAGGTACGGAAAAGATCTCGATTGACCACGAAAAACTGCCTCTTGCTCTTGAAATTGAGCTTGTCCTGTTCAACGGAAAAGAGACTGTTACCGGTTCACTACACAGACGAATTACTGAAAAGTCTACCACCGTCTGCTGCTCCAAATAATTCTAGTGAGGTCACTGAAAGTGGATTTTGTTGATGGAAGTCGCTGAAGGGTGTATGGCAAAGGTTAGGGTACGTCGGAGGCCAGCAGGTTCATTCATTAAACCAAAGAAAACATCAATTTCCTCAGGTTTTACAGTACTATGGTCCTACCAGTTGAAACTGTGGAATAGTACACTTCAATCATCTCAATTTCTTATGCCTTTCAACAAATCGAATTTCATTGTGAGCAACTTTCCCACTAAATTTTCTAATTCGAACTCCCTCTTGAGGTCTCATATGCCTGCTCTTAGAGTGGAACGGAGTGGTGGCAACAGGTGCTATTACCATGTTATCTTCAATGTGCTTGGATCAAATCCTATCTTGTTTCGATGAATTCTAGCCTTCATTTCTGAGCACTAGAGGTCACTAATGGACAAAGCTTATACGATTGAGATTGCCGTGGTCAGCACTCCCATTCAAGCTGAATATCATGAATAGTTATTATGGGAATGTGAATCACAGGCCGTTTGTAGAGGGTGATGCAGACAGCAAGAATACGGAAAAAAAAGTACTAATTGTCAATCGCAAATTTAGATAGGCTGGATTGAAAAGTGAAATGAAATCTAATGAAGTGAAAGATGATTAAAGAAAAGAAGACAAAAGGCCAAAACTTTTGGGATCTGAGGTTTAATAAATTCTACTCGGAAAAAATGGAAACAAAAAATTGGTCGGACAAGATCTAAAGTCTTAGCTTACACCTGCTAGCCCTATTCTACAGCTACAGTTTGCCTCCTATACAACGTAAGGTGGCTCCCACACCCACAGAAGGCTTCGCAGCAACAACACTCACTTCGGTCCTTTGCCAGGTCCTTTTTCAAGTCTTCCGCCGCTACATTGTCATATGCCGTCCCAATTATGGACATGGAACATCCCATGTTTGCAAAAAAAGTTGCACTCTGTTTTTGATACCTGTTTACGTGAACGGTGATCGAGCTGTTTACCGTGCCCATTGGAAGGATGCATATATACCCCAAACTGCAACCCTTTTCCATTTAAAAACACTTGAGTTCGGTTGGATAGGGAATCACTTGCTGCTAACGAACAGCATTTGGAAACAGCATTCTGGTGAAAGTATTGACTTTAAGATTCAACAAACCAAGGGCCAAGATTCAAGAAACCGTAATTGTAAATAAACATACAGACAGCACCGTGACCACCGAATTGATAAAGAAGAACGCCTTTATAAACGAAGTGGAGTTTGCTACTAATTCCAAGAAATTGAGCTAATCTACCGGCTAAGTCGGGAACTTTCGCACACATTCCGTGAAAATATGAATGCTTGGTTGTGAGCAATACTCAACTTTACATATGCATCATTTCCCCTTCACTTCTTAGGCGCTCAAGCAGCAGCCACTCCTCCGATGGTCTATCTCTCGCGCCAGCTTAGTCCAACGTAGTTCTCAGCAGTCTGTGCACGAAGACAGTCGTTCGGAAAGGGCTTAAGAGCAGAGGCGGGACGGCTCTAGAGTGCATGCGTTAGATAACCGCTCTAGTAGTTCCACTAGAGATTGCGGTAAACTATGAAAATACTGATCAGCTCACCTTTTCTTCGGGTAATATTCGATCAGTGCCGTCAGCTTACGGATCGCTGACTGGATTGAATGTATAGAAGGAAAGCAGTCGCCAGTTTGTCGACTGTGACACGCCCTATAATGATTGTGAGTCGGTGCCTCCCCTGCCGGCCCTGTTGACATGCGCATGTGATGTGCGCTGTCCACGTGATGCAACCCTGCTATTACTCAACAACCGTCTGTCTAACAACGAATTCGAGTAACAAAGGAATGGTTGTCCAAACTGGACGGGATAGCTCCCTCGAAAGTACAAAGAGGAAAACGCAACGGGCCCGTATTATCACCGCAATCCACTTAATGCTTCATAATAGCCGTAAAGCAACGTGTATCAAAGCCGGTCACGGTCACCACACCTCATCCTTTGACATAACGATGTTTCTTTGATTACGACACGATAGTAGTACGACAGTAATTCAGACATGAGCTGAGCCTTCGTCATGGGATAAAGGCCAAATTGGTGCTGAACATTTAAAATTGTTTTATATCCATCCATTGAGTACAGCGAGTTGAACTTTGAAGATCATGTCGAGCAGAACGAAGGGCAATCGTACCGAACGTGGTACCATACTCAAAGGTTTTGGATCCTCTCATTAATTATTCTTTCAATGTGCTCAATGTGAATGTAAGCACATGCTGTCCTTGAGAAATTGATCCGAGAGCAAGGGAAGGGCCTTGCCATGCAGGTTGTTTACAATCCCACTATAAATAAATCACAAATGTCCGTCTGTTTGTCAGTTTTTCTGTTTTTTTTTTCTGTTTGTCTGTAACTGCCTTATATGGCGCCATTTGGAAATCAACTGGAACAGCCCAGATAGGTTGGAACAAGTGGAAAATGAGCCAAACTCCTCGGGTTCACGTGATTCAAGCTGGGCTCCGCCCATTAAGGGCGCGGCGTGCGCGAAAAAAAATGTGGTTCACCGGAAATCCGTAAATCCCGCTCTCCTGGGCCCAGAGCATTCAAATTTGGCAGAGAAGCAGGCGCCAAGATGGAAAAAACTAATGGCAGGTCGCAGGTGCAGACTCCGCCCACTGGGTGAGGAGTTCAATCTAAAATTGTTAATTTGGACATACTAATCATGTTTTTGCGTAAAAATTCTCAAACAATATATTGGACTGGTATGCTATCAAATGCCTACGCCGACGGGTGCGGATAGATGACCGAAGTGCAAACAAATTCCCATTTCATCTTCAGTGAAGTACTGGAATCCATGACGGTAAGGAGTTAACAAGAAAGTAAATGTTTTCAATGTCCTTTCTTGATTTTACTATTTTTATTTTATTTCGGTTCATATAAGGATAAAGGAATATAAATGGTTGCCAAACCCAGTTTGCTAGAAATGTGTGTTCTCCATAGACGGTTTATTACGCTATTAGATGGGGTGGGAGAGCAGTACTCTTCATTATTTCGGAAGAGGGTTGTGTTGCTGAGACGATTAGGCCCCAAGATATTTTTAAGGAAATTCACTTATCAGAAGCCATGAGACGCGCACGGTATCGTCCGCTGGCCAACTCGTCTAAAATACACCATCACACAATAACCTAATTCCATAGGCACCCGAAATAAATGACTGGTTCTTTCAGTGGGAGTCCGGAAAATGCTGCTGATGAGGTTGAGGTTTTACGAGTGCGGGGCTAAGAAAGAATAAGAGTGAGAGCTTGACCAAATGACCACTATCCACGAAAGGCTGACGAGATATAAGCAAAGTCCATTGAGAAGTTAAAGAAGGAATGATGACGAATATTTTGGTCGACCAACAGAAGAGCGATGATCAACGTGAAACTTTGGAAGAGACAGAAATAGAATGAAAACGAAACACAGATTACTGGGAAAGCTAGTCTTATATGAAAGTGAAAAACTGAATGATGCCATACTTGAATCTCCATAAAACTCATAGTTCTTCAAAGAGGAATAAGTTTGAGAATAACAGGAACGATTTGCATCGTGGCTGGCTTAAAATGAAATCATGACAAATCAGAGAACAGAACCAGAAATTGGGTCACGTACTGGGACCATGTAGAGAACCCATCGATTTCATTTCAAAGACAATGATTGAATTCGGTTCACACCTACAGGATTTATTCTTCATTATAATACTTTTTTCTTTGTTATAACCAGCCAGAAATAGGACTGGAAGAATAATTTATTTTCTTAACGTCGTGCGTCTTCCAATACAAAATATAATTTTAAGACGAAAACACAAAATGAAGAAATTTCAAGACGAGCGTGCAGTAGATATCTCGAAAATAATCCAACCTACGTGGATAATGAAAACCAATGAAATGAAATCGTAAGTGCCTTACACTAGGCGAAGTTCATTCACACAAAACTACCAGCGCATATACCACCTGAGATGAAGAGTAACATGCTAAGACTTAGTTGAAATACTTGTCTTGAATGATCTGAATAGAGTAAGCAGAAAGGAAAACTACATAATCGCCGATGTGTAAGAAACGTCAATCGTATGTATAAGATTGCCTTACTACAACAAAATGAAATTATAAAACGCTCTCAAGGAATTTACTCACATTTTTTGTAGCAATGAACTGCAGGCACATCGACAACACAAACAAGCGTGTATACAAAAGAAAAGATTATGCCCCAAGAATCTACCTCACAAATAGAACAAGAGCACACGAACAGAACCATATGAAGAAAAAAATGGGCCCGTTGATGAGATTTATTAGTCAGTTCAGTTGTCTCCTTTACAATCTTGTGACTGCTTACCCTCTTTCTTCTTGTTAGCTTTCCTTTGCATCAGGAGTGGCTCTGGGGGCTGGCCATTGCGAGCAATATTCCAAATGCGTATTGTAGCATCCTGTGAACAACTCGCCAGCATATTAGGATATTTAGGGTTCCATGAGACGCCGTTGACAACACCCTTGTGACCTCTCAACTTCAGCGCATGTTTGCTGTTGGAAATCTTCCAAATCATGACCTTTTTATCTTCAGTCCCTGTAGCGACATATTCTTGACCCAGACCTCCAAATCCAGCGTGAATAACCAGATTTGCTTGTTGAGCACCGTAAAAATTTCTTACAAGCGTCTTCGACTGTAAGTCCCACATTCGGAGATTACGTTGCGTTGTGGTGAGAACAAATCTTTCATTCGGGTGCACTCGGAAGGAAATGATGGGCACTTCTTCCGTGAAAACAGTCTCATCACTACGATTGTCGATTCGATACTTTCGCAACCGATGGTGAGTGTCGGAAGCGAGAACTGTGACGCTGTCGCTCATTCCATAAACACCACGGATCCGATAGCCTTCCCATAGGCCGAGTACAAGTACTTCATTTGATTGCTTAACATCACATATTTGAAGGTGACCTCGTTCATCGCCGACAATGAGGAAATAGTTAGGTGCATTGAAAAAGGCACAAGTCGTGAAGAGTGAATTTGGCAGATTATTTATTGTTCGCAACATACGTCCTTCTTTTGCGGCGAACACCATGATATCGAACGGAGCTTGTTCTGAACATGCAACGGCCAGCAAGTTGCTATCACCACTCCAACTGATACATGATACGACATCGGCGTTGTCATATCCTGAAAGAAGATGCAACAGCTCCACTTCTTCACCACCGCGGATGACCGAGTGAATAAAAATGCGGGTAGACTTTGAACAACTGGCTAAGAGGCTTCCGTCTGGGGAAAACTCCACACACCAAACTTCAAATTTATGGTCACACAGTGTCTGGGTATTAACGTAGAAAGGCGTAGACTTTTTCTGGCAGCTATGATCCACGAAAACGTCTGCAGCTTCAAGGCCTCCCGATGAGTGCCGGCTCATATGTACTCGGCATTTCGAAACTTGTGCAGCGTGGGCTTGATTGAGCAGTTGCTCAAGTCGCGCAGGTGGAAGTATGAAAGTGGCAGGCAAAACTTGTTGCACTTTGACAACTAGCCTTCGACGATCGCTCTTAGTCCTGAATCGCGATGTTTCCGGGAGTAGCGCCAATTGCTTTTTGTCCATAAAAAGCATTCGAACCATACTGGACCGTTTTTCCCGCACCGCTGCTGTGTTTGGGAACTCCTCACGAAGCAAGCGAAGGGCCATCGATATATTCCCGGAATACAGAAGATCATAGAATTTCTCCTCTAGGATGATAAGTTTTGCAGCCTGCAGTTGTAGAGGCTTGAGGTTTGCGTAGCACTTGTCCAAAACCGCTGTGGCTTCATCCCACCTTCCGTGGTAAATGGCTTCGCGCAATTGTCGCGCATTCGCATTTTCGACTTTGCAACCACTCTCTTCTGTGAGAACATCCAATGACTCCTTTAGTCCTAAATCTCGAAGATACTGGGCGATAATGCGCACTGTATTACGTTGTTTCGAAGTTAGTTTCGGCGACGGTTTACAGCCCAGCAACTTGGGAGTTTTGCACGCGGAACTACCATTTGATGTTGTGTTATTGAGATCCTTGAGGGAGCACTGTTTTAGTCGTTGGGCAACCGAACGGCTTCCAGAATAATGCTGGTGGTAATCAATACTCATCCTCGCACGCTTAGCAGCAGGACCAGCGGCTCGAGGTGATATGGGGCGTTCCACTGCCCGCTGCACCTTGGAAGATGGAACCTCAAACTTGGGTACAGTCTGAAAAAAAAAAACTTTGATGGTACTCTGAAAGGTTTTACATATCAGTGAGAAATGGCACAGGAACTGCACAAAGGCATCGTGGAAGCTTGTGTGGTGTTTAGAGATATGTTTCAACATACTGAGAGTGCCCGAACAAATATTCCACTCATTGAGTACTAGAAACATCTTTGCGAAATCGCATTGAGAAATGATACGGAGACTGCCCGAATGCCAAGATTTATGTAACGTAAGACAAAGTGACTCTCTATAAAAAAAACTTTTCGAATGTAACAATAAACAAATTCTCTATAGAGGAAGGTACCTAATATCTAACCAAAATTAACTCAGATCTTGTCAAACTTGTATTGATCTGAACCTTTTCTTCTCTGCTGTCCGCCGTTTTTCTGCTAACCGATGCTGAGCTGCCAAATCAGCCTTCTGAAAAAATTCTTATTTACAATGTAACAAATTCACTAGAAACAAGGCAGTTTTCAAAACAAGATCGCAAGCAAGTATAACAAATGAAGACCTTGGAGCATAAACAACCTTTCGAATGATTTCTGCATCCTCTTCGGTTTCGAAACGTGAGTTCATTTTCCTTTCGACATCATAAATAGTGGATCGTAACTTATCGAAGCAATCGGCCAAATTCAGATGCCTTTCTCGGGTTCGTTCGCTATCGATGATCAACTGAACGAAACATTTTAACTTTCCCATATGATACCACGTGCATTAATTACAGTCAAAGAAAGTATCTCAATCTTAAAAAACCGTTGGAATAGTTATTTGCAAACTATGTAGTCACGTAAAGAAAAGTTCACTTCAAGGTTCACCCTTCCTGAGCTCCACTCATTGGTTGCTTTCATTCTTCAACGATGCAACCGAAGACGGGCCGACCGACTGCGGCGCTGGACAAGTGTTGACAACAATGGACAGATTGCGTTCAGAGCCGCGCTAGGGTTCGCACCGCCGGTGACGGCATCCTAGGGGGCAATCGATGTCCAGCGTTGTCACCACGTGCCCAGTGCCGCCATCGGTCGGTCAGTCGGTCTGTCACTGAAGTCTGGGAGCAGCCATTCCTATCTTCCTCTATGTGCAATCCCACCCTCAAAAACGAACACTTGTCCATGTTGCCGCAAAACCGCTAGGAAAGCGAGCAACTACTCCACCTGTTTTCGAAAATAATGATAAATCATGGTATGGTACCCCAACTCGAAATCGACTAACCTCTCCTTTTGAGTTGATTCGATTGGCGAGTCGTTCAGCGAGACCCCTTTTCAGTTCTTCGGATAACCAATTGGCCTTGCTAAGATTAAATCGGATTTCGACCTGAAGCATATTTTTTACTTTCACTATGCAATAATACAACCGGTTCTGTAAACCCTAAGTATGCGATCGCATATATACATTAAGAACTAACTGTTGTCTGCAATAACCCACAGAGCTAAGGTTTATCTACAATTACCACCTTCTCCGACTGTTACGGTATGTCTTAGTGTCCAGAATGATTATCTCGCAAAAAAAGCAAATGGCTAACAAACTAAATAGGCTACCAGATATTGACAACCACAAGGCAATTTGAATTTGGCAATCAGACCTCGTAATTATTGAATACTTACTTTAGTGGCGTTCTTCTGAATATTTTGACCACCAGGGCCACTACTGAGCACATATCTCTTCTCAATTGTCTCAGTGGGTATGACTCCATTGAATTTGGCGCCAGAAGATGAACAAGCGACCTGAAAACTTCTGGTAGAAGGGCTTTTCGTTGCTATTTAGGCATTAGCATTAGAAAAAAAGCTAAAACCAGGGAACCCCGTCCACATTAACCCTGCAGGGGGATAGCCTGCACCAGCAGAGAACTTCTCCCTAATCTAATCTGTAATCTCCTTAGGCTGGGAAAAACACTGAATTTTTTTATCATAGAATGAAACTGAGTGAGTACAAGAATTAAAAAAACATAAGGGCAGTTGCGGGTAGAGAAGTAAACTATTATATGGTGTTCTTTGACGTATATTTTTGAATTTTTTTTTTGTAACTAAAAAAAAAATATTGAATTACGGCAAGGCGGGCAGAAATAAATGACTGTTGGAGAAAAAATTCTCTAAAACAAGCGACATTCGAGCAAAAAAACGGCATGAGTCAAAATGACGACGAAATGATCTTACTATATATAATTCGGTAAGTGTGTCTGTTGGTTTGTCGGTGTGTTTGTGTATGTGTGTGTGTCCGACTGGAAATTCACTACTCCTGTACAGGTAGGCCTGAGCGTTGAAACTTGGAAGGAGTACGGGGGGGGGGGGGGGGGGGGGGGGGCAGGATGGGAACACTTGTGCTCTCACACGGAGCGAGGCGTACGCGACAGAAATTTTGGGCCGCGCAAATTCACCCTCCTGTTTGCGTGGTCCTAGAGCGTTCAAATTTGGTAGGATTACACTTTTCTTCGTATTAACAGTGGAACCTCGGCATCTTAATAAGGGATGTAGGGTATGACGGGATGGTTGGTACCAGGTGACAGGAACCCATGACAACTCATAAGAGAAGATAAGGGGCCTAAGAAAGCAAGAGCCACCTACCGATCAAAATCCTAATGTCTTCGGTACCTATGATGTAGCATTGACCGTTCAGTATGCTTCATTCGATGAGGCGGGATGGTAGAGTAGGGTGACAAAAGTGAGTGGTAAGTGCAGTTATAGGGACCCATTAGCGGCAATAGGATTAGCAGATGAGGATTTTGTTCATTTCTTGCTACTAGATTACGACCGCTACTCACCAAGGTTTGTGACCCAATGAAGTGACTCAATGAGGAATCCTCTTTGTTCAATATCGTTTGCAACAAAACCCAACCAACGACCAGTAATTTTTAATTCTCGACTATGACATCTCCATAACGAGAATGGTGGAAGACGGGCAGAAGGAACGGTTTTAAGTAATCGCTCCGCCGCACGCGGTTGTCGCGGATCTTGTGCCTCGTTATAACAGTTCTAGCGTTCGTCATACAGCTTAACCGCAATGCGATTATTACTAACGACACGATTCTACTGTTGATTCTTTTGTTCCTGTATTTCTCACATGCTTCTGCACTCTACTAGATTGCTTCGCGCGCGGCGTTTCACTCGCCGCGGCGCGACAACTTCGTTCCTACTGCACCACACCCCGAGAAGGGTCCATTGATGACATATGGTAATGGTGTTTTCATCGCTCGAACATTTGCAAATACGCCCAAGGCTTTGGTTGTCTAACAGTTGAATGTTTGATGGGTATTCCCTTTTGAGAAGGGAGCAGAAGATCGACACTTCCAGTCAAAGGGGTAGGCATCGACTTTCACTGAATACCATCTGCACTGCCCTGTTAGTTCCGTGTCGAATTTCGGGTGCAGGAAACTTTTCAAAAATGGAGTGGAGACTTGGCCGATTACAACAACTTTGTCAAAGAAGGAGGAGAGCCTGGCGCTGGCCGGACGAACCGACTGGTTTAACATGATGCGCATAAGATTGGCAAACCACAACTCAGGGTCTCGAAACACTAGATTTTGAACCTAAAATTCTTCTAAATGAAAGGTGAAGGCAGGAAGTAGATATTTACCTGTAAGTTTAACGGATTGGACATCGCACGGGCAAAGCTTCTAGCGATCGAATGCATAATTGAGAGGATTTACAGCGATTATAGAGCCTGAAATAAATAATCGTTTACAATTCATTATCGTTTTTCCACATGAACAAAGATTAGTGGAATAGAGTTCGAGACGTAGCGATCAAAAACATGAATGCAGTATTTAACTGACCTCCTTAACTGGAAAAGTACTATTTTTACATTGCTAGAACACCCAATCATACTGCTAAAAATGCAAAACGCAAGCAATATGAAAGACTGACACCTGTGAACACAACTTTAAAGAGAAACAGCAGTAAGAAAATCAATAAACGCAAGTAGCGCGCTCAACCGCGTTTCTCTGCACCCTCCCGTGTAATGAGATGCGGGGCGCTAGAGCAGCAGCAATCATACGAAGCGGCGTGAGGTGGGAAGCCCGAGGTGGGATGGTCAGGTATCGCTTCTCGGCCTTTTGGCTAAGATCAAAGTTTAGTTTCTGTTCTTATCGAATTAACCTTCGATAGAGTTTCGAATGAAACTCGTTAAGGTTATTTGATTTTTGAGACCGGACGAGGTCGTGGGCTTGCTCGCGCCTCGTCACGGGTCGGCCCAGCGTTGCACTGCTGTTGGGATCGGCCCACCCCCTCAGGGGGGAATGAGAACTGAAACAAGATCGGGGAAGGGATCTGAAAGGTAGGAGTCGAAAGATCCGCTCTCTCGCCAATTGGAAAGGGTCCAGGGCCTTGGAGAAGAATGGTACATCTCAATTCT